CAGTAATGGCGGCCGAAAAATTTGCATGTTTGCGTTGAAAAAAAAGGCAGAAGGAAATGGAATTGGACGCTGATATTTGGTAATTTTGTTTATCTACAAACATACTTTCTGAATATACAATAAAAAGACAGCACAATTTTCCATCGCAGTGGCACTTTAACTCACAACATAGATGGATTTTCATATTTTTTACTGGGGTGGTGCCAGAAATTTTAGGGGGGTGAGCCGCGAGCAGGTGACTGAAGCAACACAAAGTGTCACCAAACCCCAGTAAGGTCTATATTCTAGGGGTGGAGTACTAGAGCCACAAGTGGGAGTCTAGAGAGCAGAAAACAAAGTATATCCCTGGAAAAATTTGAAAAAAATCATGATTTCTAGCTTCGAAAAGACGTTTTTTGAAGTTGTCATATCAATGGATTTGGCCTGTCCAATTGTCTGTCAAGACTTGAGAGAGTTAAAGTTAAATGAACCTGTAAAAGTGTAAACCCAATAGGCCAATACACAATATGCTTTTACTTTTATAAAATCATTGATATTGTGTCGTTTGAATCCGAGTACAATTTATGATGCAACTCTGATGTACGTAAATAATATTTGGGACGTAAAGATTAAATCTAGGCAAGACTATTTCCTAAAAGAATCAAAAACTACAAATAATGTTCGTAAAATTTCCAAACAGCATGACAATTGACAAGGCACTGCAAACTCTATTCAGGGGAGATAGTAGAGTTTCAAAACTTTACAATTGGTCTTTTTCTATTTGAGTGTACTCCTATGTTTATTTTGTATCATCAACACTCTGCATGTTACGTTGGAGTGGACTATTTAATTATTTTTTATTATGCCGGGTGGTTGAAAATTTTTTTGGAGGCATGGACATTTTGTTTGGGGGGTTATAGCTAATATTGGGGTAGCACCCCCCTACATCCCCCCACAAAATCCGTCTATGGCTCACAACATCTGCAGACGCTGAGATTTTTCCTCGCGATTTTTCCTTGCTGAGCAAGTTGCTCTTGTGTGCGGCAGGCTTAATGAATTGACTATAAATGCTTTTGAGTTCAGTCCACTAATGATATCCACAGGAATAAATTATATATAGGTATTATTAACTTTCCAGGTAGCATACCATCACATCTGATATTTCAATTCTGCATGTTGGACAACGAGGATCTGCCCTGAAAAAGAAATATATGCTGCTGAAGTTGAAATTGCTAACTATCAGTTATAGTTGTTGCTTCTGAAGTTATTAATTATTAATTAAAGGTGATCTACAGTCCGATCTGCACAAAGGGGCCCACTTTTTATGATACAAACAGTTTAACTATGTTTTAGGTTCTTGAAAAACCTGATTATTGTTTCTTGATCATTTATTATACTCTACAAGCTTGAAAATATAAATAGTTGTCGAATAATTAAGCTCAATATTTTGGACACAAAAATGTAAAAAAAGGCTTTGTTTACATACGGACTGTAGAGCACCTTTAAACAAGTTAATATATATTTTGTTATACGGTAAAATATGAACAGCAGTTTATGTTTATATCTTTCTTGAAGTTTTAATCTACTTTGCATATGCAGTCATGCTGTGTAATGTCAAAGAAGAATATTGAAAGTGAAACTAACTTGAGAATATCATCAATACAGAGAGCACAAAATTGATGTCCACAATCACGGACTTGGACGGGATCTTTCAAAACTTCCAAACATATAGCACATTCATAAGCATGTCTTGTAGCATTTTGATCCTTAAACCATTTCAATGGATAGCCTGAATGATCGTTTCTTGCCATACAAAAAATCAACCTGGAAACATTTTAAAATTTTATAGTCGAGCCTCATTCAAATGGTAATTACTTCCGTGTCATAAGTTACCTGACCTCAATAATAACTGGATGACTTGAACCCAAGCAAAGAGTGCCCCCTCCCCCCGGGCTATAGAGCCTCGTTTCCGTGATGGAGACATGATTCCATATGGTCGTAAAGATTGAGTCACGATCTTTCTCATCAGCCGAAATATATAACATTTTAGAACTGAAAATACGCGGAGTGATTATAACTATGTGGTTTTTACTTTTTAAGTTCTTTGAATGTTTGCATGGCGATAAAATATAATTGTTTTTGTTTGTGGAAACACCACGTATAAAATTTATTACTGCAAAGCTTTCGATCCGGCAATTGCTAGATAGTATACTTCAAAATAAGGTTTCCGTTTTTATATCAATTTTTAAAATAAGTTAGGGTTAGGGTTAGGTTAGGGTTTAGGTTAGGGTTAGGTTGGGGTTAGGGTAAGGGTTAGTATTAGGGTTTAGTTTTGTGTTAGGATAGTTTTTTCTACGTTATAAAAACGGAAACCTTATTTTGAAGTATACTATCTAGCGATCACCCTTTCGATCCGTATGCCCAACCTCGTTCCCAGGGCTTTTCCCCTGGGAACGAGGTTGCCGTATGCCCGGATCTTCATCAGTGCATAAGGTCCATAAGTGGTTTTTACAGGCCCCTTTACAGGAATAAACTATCAAAAACTAGCCGTTGAAAAAAGATGGCCAAACGGCAAACCAGGCTTAGATAGATAGATCGTTTATTAAGAATTATAACCTTGATTTTACAGCAAAGAACTGAATTTCAAAAGGTTTTACATATAAAATTAAAAATTTTTAAGATAAAATGCTACAACTACTGTGCTTAACTGTGGTCATTATACCGTCCAGCGGCTGCAATTATAAAGGAGTTTTTGAAACGGTCCGTTTTACATATAGGTATAGTGAAATTTCTTTTGTTCCTTAACTTTATCATTTGGGTTCATTACAATTTTGTTGAAAAATTCATCACAAAGAGTACTACGATGATCGGAAAGTTTATGCAGTTTCGACATTACCAACGCTTCAGAATTGAGGTACATCGTAAGTTCGTAACCATATACGATATTCAACGCTCGTTTCTGAATTCGTTCCAGCATAATGTTTAAAAACTCGGGGAGGTTAATTTAAAGTAGAAAACTTGACAAGAATATAGTAACAGTGTCCGATTACTTTTTCGGATCGAATTGGAACGCTTTAACAAACTCGGGTCGGACTGGATTCTGGTCAGACAATTTCGAATTAGATTTCAAAAAATTATCAAAATTACCAATTGTCAACGTACGTCCAAATCTGATCGGCACGGCACTTGATAGGCCAGAAGCCGGGTAAACTTTAAAGCCACAAAATAGAAGACTTTCGTTTGATGTTGAACAACTTGAACTGCACCTCACCGTGCGTAAATCCTAATTGTCACAACTTCATTATGAAAACTGATGTTATATATAATATCTAATATCTATCTATATATATATATATATAGATATATAGATATATATATATATATATATATATATATATATATATATATATATATATATATATATATATATATATATATATATATATATATATATATATTATATATATTATATATTATATATATGAATCATCGGTGCACTGTGCTGATGAGCCCCAAAAAGGGCGAAACAGCTGCCCACAGTTGCCGTTGTTTGAGCTTTCCTTGAAGGGCGCTACAATGTCTTTACTTATGTGCTTTATCGCCGTTTTTAAACTGTGAAATGCAGTGAGCGTGCGCATAAAGGCTTAGGCATAATGTGTAGTATATATATATATATATA